CAGAATCTTCCTCCAGCACAATTAGTAGCCCCTCCCAAATACCATGCCCCCCCCCCCCCCCCCTCCCCGTTTCAATGGCAGCCGAAGCAGCAGCAAAGCAGAGGCTGACATCATCCCTTTCCAAATAAAGGGCTGTCCAATCTCATCTTAAAAACCTCCAGTAATGGAGCAGTCGGAACTTCTGGGGTTCCACTGATTAATTGTTTTCGCAACCAAAAACGTTCTCCTCGTTCCTAGGTTGGTTCTTCTCCTGCCTTCGGGTGCTTTTGGGGAATAGATTGGCCCCCCTCATCTTCGTGGCAGCCCCTCAAATATTGGAAGAAGCTATCATCATGTCCTCCTTTTCATTAGACTAGAGAGAACCACGGTTCCCTGCAGCCATTTTTTTTCATATGTTTTAGCCTCCAGCCCCCAATCTCCTTTGTGGCTCTTCTCCGCGCTCTTTCTAGAATAGTCCCCGCATTTCCCCCCTATCGTTTGATCTACCTTTGATCCAGCTCTTTCTGAATATCCTTGTTGATTTCATCCACTTTCTGCTGGAGTTTCTTTCTCCGTTGCTCTGGGGGAAGGTTGCTATAATCTTCCGGTCCTCCTCCCTGAGGTTTTCAGGAAGGCGAAAAAGGAGGAAAAAAAGATGAAAAGTGAAACCTCTCGATCCCATCACGCGTGAGAATTTTATCTGCCTGCACAGCAATATTCTAACCCAATTAGTTATCAAAAGATGTTCCCTTGGCTGACTTAAAGGCATTCCTTTGAAGGCGGCGGATTGGCTGTTGAACAGCCAATCACAGGGAGTTCCCACACTCTTCTCTAAGATACAAACATCTCTCCAAAAAAATAAAATAAACTAGAAAAAAATCTGGAAGCATCTTTCGTGAATAGCTACGTAAAGGTAAAGGTTCCCCTTGCACATAAGTGCTAGTCGTTCCCGACTCTAGGGGGCGATGGTGCTCATCTGCATTCCAAAGCCGAAGAGCCAGCGCTGTCTGAAGACGTCTCCGTGGTCATGTGGCCGGCATGACTAAACGCCAAAGGCTCACGGAAGGCTGCTCCCTTCCCACCAAAGGTGGTTCCTATTTTACTACTTGCATTTTTTACGTGATTTCGAACTGTTAGGTTGGCAGAAGCTGGGACAAGTCACGGAGGCTCACTCCGTTACGCGGCACTAGGGATTTGAACCACCAAACTGCCAACCTTCCGATCGACAAGTTCAGCGTCTTAGCCACTGAGCCACCGCGTCCCTTCGTGAATAGCTAATTATATTAAAAGGCTCAAAAGCTTTTGTAAAACCACAGCTCCCTTCATCAGATGCACAGGAGGGCTGGATGAATCTAAGGTTTAATTTAGGAGGCGGTTGGGAGAGAAATGGGGAGGGAAAATAGGTTGGTTATTGATGAAGGGAGCTGCATCTGACAAAAGCTTCTTTTAATTAGATTTATGCAACCAACTTCATCCCATTTGTCGGAAAAAAGCGCTATCCAACTTCTGATTTCCTCCCCCCCCCCCCTTCCAAACATGTGGCTCTCTGCTTTGGGAACATCTATGAATGACCACTTCCAACGGTCACTAAATGAACGGGCGTTAATTCGAGGACTCCCTCTACGGTATGCAAACTGTAGCGAAGACAAAACCTTTTATGGCTGCAGCGGTTGAAAAAGAGGCGGAATCTCCGGCAACTTTGGAAGCCAATCAGGGCCAGATTAAGCAGGAAATGAGCTACCGTATTTTTTCCTGCTGAATCAGTGACTTGTGTGTGTGATTTCTGATTGTGATGGCTGCTGCACACCCGGCCCACCGACTGGTTCACCGTGAGCCTATTTGAGCTAGAACCTACGATGAGCCTCCAGCGAACTCCCTTGTCACCAGCCCCAGGTTTTTTTGGCATTAAATGGAGTTATTCTTTTTAAACGGTTTGGTTGAAATTTGCTGGGAAGGGATTAAAAAGCGTTAGTTCGAGGAAATCTTGCGTGGGAGGCTGAAAAACGTAGCTGGCTAACAAACCAAGAGAAGTGGATAACCAAGATGGCAATCGCATTCTGTACAGCCCGGTTATTGTGATTGATGTTGAACTCAATGAAGGACAGAGAAGGAGATGCAAAGATTTTTTTAAATCAATCATGATCAATGTATATATTCCTGAGGATCTTTTAGTTCTCCACCGGGTAGAGTCCAAAATGAGATTGATATTTATTAGATTTATGTTGTTCAGAGAAGAGTTTTAAGTTCCCTAAACAAGACTTCCCATCCTGCAGTGATTTTCACCACCTTGCCAAATTTGGGATAGCGACCAATTCCTTTGCCATTTGTAACTAGGATAAGCAAACCTTTAACTAACACAACATTCTTGCAATTGGCAAAGAACTCCAAAAACGTACTTATCCTAAATTTTTCTTTTAACTGGGGAACATTGTTTTTTTTTAACAAGACCTCTATGATCTGAATTGGCCAGACTCTTCTCTGTTGTTTATTGAGTTCAACATTTTGTTTTCTTTCTTCTCCCCACCTGTGGATGGAGAAAAGCCTATTTTTAACCCAAACTAAATTATTTTAAATCTGTTTCAAGGCCGTCTGTCAGTTCAGAAGGACAAGCCTATTATCTACGTTTTTTGTTTTTTTGCAGCCTGCATCGCGCGAGGCTTTCTAAAGCCTTCTAATTAGACTGAGACACTACAAGTTAATTCTTAGTAGTTCATTAGCAGCATCAAAATGGGATCACCTCCATTAAATTCCAGACTTGCATATTCAAAGTTATCTGATAAAGGCCAAAAGAAAAGGAAAAAAAAAACGAATAAACACACGGAAAACACACCAACACACTTAAAAGACAACAGGGAAAAAAATAGTCATTTTACAAGCTACACAAGTNCTTTTCTGTGGGTAACGGATCCAAATGGCTCTTTTGAGTGTTTAAGGTTGCCAACCAAACCATGGCTGGGTGAGTTCTCCACTAACCCAGGACCAAACCAGACCATCAGTTCTTAGCATGATGCAAATCCCATCTTGAATAGCCAAGCGTTCTCCTGGACGCAACGCCCATCAAATCAGCCAGGCTAATTTTGGGGTGATCTCAAGGCCACCCATGGGCACAAGAGGTATCTTCTAGGACTCTACTCTGCCATAGAAGCCCGTTCTCCTTCCAATGAACCTCCTCTGGATCTGGGTGTGATGGACAGATGGAGTGAGTGAAGGGAGAAATGGAGGCCCTCCCTCCACCACCTCCACCTCCCTCCGTCACACCAAACACAACCCAGCTGGGAGGGAAGGTCTTTTGCCTTCTCCCTTCTGGAGAGAGCAGCACCAGAAGCTCCTCGATCAACTTCTAAGGAAAGTCTTCTCCAACCTAGGTCCTTCAAGGAAGGTTGGCCAGCCTAACCAACGGGGATCTTCTCAACGTGGCCAAGACGTCCTATGGGCTCCCAACAGCCAACACTTCCATCTCCTGCTCTAAGCCCCATGGGGAAATCATATTGGCTCCTCCATTTTCTCCTCAAGCGATAAAACGGGGCTAAGCCCACCCGGCTTTCCTAGCCAAAGCCCAGTGGTTAGATCTGATGGATTAAAAACAAAAATTGTTTGGGTCTTAGGCCTGCGAATTAGCTGTGGACCGAACTGACGATGTCAGACTGCTTGACAAATATTAAATTCTATCTCATGGCGAGGACCCTCCGTTTCATAGCTTGGTTTTCGGATGGTTTTCTGTGCAGGAGACCTGTTTGCAAAACTCTTTGAGGGACCAGGAGAAAGGAGGAGGGGGGAGGAAGGGGTAACCTTTGATCCGCTGATTCCGTCCCGTCCCTTCCCTGGCGGAAGAAGAGAGGGGACCCCACAGTGTGGATCCGGTAAGCGGTGGTGGAAAAACCGCTTGAGCCAAGCCAAGAGGGATCCGTTGGTGCCAGAAGCTCGTAGGCAGGAGAACGTAAAGAAGCAATGAAGGATGAGCTTGAAGGGCCGTTTCAGATGGGGGGGCTTTAATTCTCCTCCCCACTGAAGGACTTAAAATGCCTTGACTCCCCCTCCCTTTCGTCCCAAGCTCTCCAAACGCCAGAAGCGGTTTTCAAAAAACGGGACACGTTTCAAAATAATCATAAAATCCAATCGGCCGTTTCTTTCTCCGGTGTGCCCAGCTCGTCCCGAGGCTCCTGTGACAGCAACTGACTTTGTGTTTTCTTCTTTTTTACTTTAGGAATCTGAAAAAAATAAAAAATAAAACAAAATAAAATACAAACAACAACAGCAGCGGGAGAAAAATAAATGTACAGACAGCCCTTGACATGCAACGCTTCATTTAGTGTCCATTCAAAGCTACAGCAGCGCTGGAAAAAAGGGATTTATGACCATTTTTCACACTTACGACTGTTGTTGTTTGTATTTTATTTTGTTTTGTGTTTATTTTTTCAGATTCCTAAAGTAAAAAAGAAGAAGAACAAAGTCAGTTGCTGTCACAGGAGCCTCGGGACGAGCTGGGCACACCGGAGAAAGAAACGGCCGATTGGATTTTATGATTATTTTGAAACGTGTCCCGTTTTTTGAAAACCGCTTCTGGCGTTTGGAGAGCTTGGGACGAAAGGGAGG